AGTTCAGTCATAAAGAGCAACAGTAAATAATTCATGCTGGCTGTATTTTTTATAAAGGATGGACTATGTCATTATTAGTTGTATTAATGATAATATTTTCACAGTTAAAATGTAAGAACAGTCTTGCAAAACCAGTAGCATTTTAGTAGGACAAAAGAGGGAAAGAAAAAATCCTAAAGCACCTACTTATTAACAGGACTGGAGCTGCACTTGTGATTTTTCAACACCCTTTAAACCTGTATCCCCTTTTATTATCAAGCTTATTTTTCTCCTACCACATTTTAGCGCATTACCTAGATATCCTAGCACATTAGCTATGAGAAAAGATAGTATCTATACTTTGTTACATTCCAGATTCAGAAGAGATGGGAACTGAATCTCAGGATGAAGTCTGGCCTTGTGCTATGAGTAAAGTGCTGGCTTGCTTTCTTTCACTCTACTTCTGTCTTTTACTGAGAGGCAAGAAGGTAAGGGAGGGAGGAAATACTCTCAGCATATGGTATTTCAGTCTGCTTCTACTGACTCACTGTGGAGGCATAAGATTACAAAAATCAATACAATCAAAGATCCAACAACATCTCACTCCAGCCTGCTAAGTCTCCCTTCACGAACTAGTAATTGGATTTTTTCCTGGGATGCCTGGGTACATAGACAAAAATTGTACACATACTGGAGCCTGGTCTTTGTTTTAAGTTATTCTGTTCACCATGACAGAAGCAGCACAGCAAAAAATTATTTTGCAAAAGTCATAAAATTCCAATTTGGGAAGACTAAGAAGCATTAAAGTCTCAGAGCTGATGATTCCCAGCTGGGTAAGCCAACCTCCATACACCTTCCTTGTAAATTAAGAAAATGTTCAATCAAGACATTCAGCAAAACTCAACTGCTCCAATATTGTGGAGGCAGAGAAGTGGTGAACAAATATCCAAGACCTAAGCCACTTAACTGCAAATAAGCTAAACCCCAACATTTTTAATTAAAACCACTTTTAATTTTTTAACACTTTTAAACAACTGAAAACAGTACAGATCAGAGTCACTTTCTTGAAGTCGAAGCTGTAAGAATTACCAAACACATGAATAGATGTGTTCTATGCAATATGTATTTCAAATACTCTTAAAAAGCATAAGTGCATTTCAGAAGGCCAGTGTTCAAAGAGACAGTACCTGGCACCAATACAGACAGGTATTTTTCCAAGTTCGCTGTCTCCCTGCTTAGTGTGCACAGATGAATTGACAGCTGCTCTACAGGGTCAGACCAAGAGAAAAGAACATTTCAGTTGGAAGGGACCTACAATGATTATCTGGGCATAATGATCTGGGAAATGCTGTTTAAAGACAGAGAACAAACTGGGCGGCTCTTGCAGCACGATCTTCCTTGTGCTTCTCTGTGTTTACAGCTACTGGATTATGGAAGAAATACTAATAGTCCCATTTCTTGGCTTTACCATACAACATTACAATGTTCACACTAAACATGTAGGACAAAGACAAGATTCCCGCTCAGCTTCGGCAGCCACAGACTGCTGGCAAAATTCAGTAGTGACACAAAATCTGAACCCAGAAAAGATTTACTGTGGAACTAGTAGGAGGCATGGGGAGTTTGAGGCACAAAAATACTGCTGGCATCTTTCTCAAAAAAACATGGGAAAATACTTTATCTTCAAGGAAAAAAACAGAGATGGCATCACATTTTAAAGCAGCTAGATGGAGAATTGATGACAATGAACACGATATGCTAAATTCATACAGAAAAAAACATTCACGAATTGCTTACTCTTACAGCGAAGAGATCCTTCCTACTTCTGGCAGATACCCATGAGGTCTCTTTTACCACACATGAACAAAGCTTGCATAATTTGACATGCCATTGAAGTCTCAAACTGAATTCTAGCATGTTTTGTAAAAATGATAAAATCCCAGTGGTATCAAATAGGACAAATGAGTTTCAGCTAGTATATTTTTATATTTTGAAACATGAGAGTGAGGGAGAGATGTTACTATAAAAATTACTAGATATGCAAATTAGCCAATCATTATTTGGTAAGCTTTAACAGTTAAAATATGGCTCAGTCTCAGAGCCAATTCCAAGAAAGTAAGACTTTTTTTTTTACAGTCACTCTCAAAAATAACAAACTGATCACTGACAGGAATTAAACACTCAAGCTACATTTAATAATATACCGTGAATGAGCAACCAGACCTTGAACAGTTCTGAATTTAAGCATAGTTGCCGAAGACAGTTTATGACTTGTCTTAACCACTGTCAGCAGACCGGTGCAGTCAGTTTGCAAATAAAGCAATGTTAAATTTTGTCATCATGACAGTAAGAAACTTCAATGACAGTCACATAATCCTTCAATACCGCAACACTCCCCTCAGCAAATAAAGCCAATATTCCAGCATTAGTAGCCTCCCAGATTCCAGTAACAACTCTAAATAAAGTAGTTTTCATAGCAAATCTACATTTCATTTAAAGATTTCAATCTGTCTATGACACATGAGAGTGCCCATACCATGTCAGGTCCTGTGTATCTGACGACGACCAAAATCAAACGAGCAGGGAAGAACAGTGCACATACATAGCAATACTTTCCCAGGATGTTCTCCTACCCTTATAACAACTGGTGCCTTCTGTTATATATCGACATGAAATACATCAAAGACTGTGATTGGTAGTCTTAAAATAAAGATGTGGTTTCATAGTATCAGTGACAAGGTAGGCAACTGATAAACCACAAACCAGAAGCACGCCTGGTCCCCAGTTTAATTCAGAACAGGAAAGCACAGCACACATCCGGCCCATCCAGAAGGAGGAACATACAATGGGCATGGTATGCAGAGAGCATCACACTCACTCTTGATCTGTTGTCAACTCCCTTGCTCCTAAATCTGCATGGGCTCCAAATCACCATGGTTTGTATTTTGCAGTCTTTCTAGAAACATTAAGAATACTGCAAAATCAGAAAAGGAAGAGGACTTGGATTCAGGAGAGAAATCCTCAAATTTAAGGCTTCTATACTAATTTAAAAGCAATTTTATCACAGGCGATCAATTTGTTAGGCCATCTCAATTTCTGAATGTGAAGCTTATAGTAGTTTTATTCCATTAAAACAGTGAAATAAATCATTCTTAGCCCTCCATCCGTATCTTAAATAAAATTAGACTGTTACACAATTGACATTTCTGTTAGTGTAGGATCTACTCCTGGAATGTAAAAGAACATGAAACGTAAAACACGTGCTTTACGTACCATTTGTTTACACTAACCACATATTCAGAACTTTATCTATATATGCATTTGATACAAAATGTACGGAACATGAACTAGCTGAATTAATCCCTCCGTAGAGCTATTGCCATCAACAAACATTCAAAGTGGTAATCCAAAACTAGCCTGACCATTTCAAAACAGGTATGAAATATTCATCCACTCAAGGCAAAATAGGCAGCCTATTTTCAGGAAGGCTTTTCTACAAAACATAGCTCACATACCTTAAAAAATTTTCCTCACAAAGTGATCCTTAGTACACTTCTCTTTACGTCAGCAGCTACTTGTTCTGATTTTCACTGTCTGAAATATGCTTCTATTTTCTGGGGACTCTGTGAAAGAAAAACAGATGCAACATTTATTTTTTCAGCATTTTAAAATATATTGCAAAACTTAAACTTAGGTAAGTTGCTTTGCATTTGCAGATGAAAAAAAATCTGTCGTCTTGTAATAAAGAGAGACAGAGTTGAAGAACCTAAAAAAGCAGACTTCTCAAATGACGGCAGGTAGTACTCATCAAGTATCACTTCATACACACAATTTTGAGAGAAGAAGTAATTTTGCCTCTACAAATGTAACCGAAGATTTTTTTAAGTTCTTGGAATTTCTTATGACACAGTGTATTGTAACCAGAAAATTAGATAATTTAATTTATTTTCAAACTTTGCCTTTGGTAAAACAAAAAGGAAGCCCATTAATAAGGAAAACAAAGACACAGAAGACCAAAATTAATTGTATGAAATACATACTTAGTAGCAGTATTTTCACTACTGTAAAAAAAAAAAAAGTGTCAACATGAGAAAGGGACCAATCAAGACACAGAGGTTTCTTATATGGTTCTAATTACTCCAATATCTAGAATAGTAAGAGGTCAGAAAGTTAAGATGGCTGGCAGCACTAAAATTTCAAGTTGTAGTTCTGGACTACAATCCAGGTGAAGCAAACTGCAATAGAAGGCTGGATATTTGAGGTCTTATATTAAGTCAAAAGTACATAAAATAAAAAAATAAGAAACAGGCTTTGCATCTAGCTTACAAGTGCAAGGTATATTGTATAAGCTACATCTGGACCAATGTTAAACGTACACTCACAATCTCATACCAGAATGTCTCATCTAAAGCGAAATCTTTAGATGAGACATTCAATACTGGTTTAGCAATGCCCTTGTAAGAAAAGGCACCTTAAGAAAAACTGAAACACTGCATGCAAGAAATGTATGTAAAGAAAAGAGAACTATTTTGCAGATCACCATTATCTAAAACAAAGCACTAATCATGGACACAATTATAAAATCTTACAAAGGGATAATTTTAGTTCATATGCAAGCAGACATTCGTTAGTATTCCTTTTTGGCTACTTAGTGACGTTCTAGAAACTAAGTGCTGTATAATACAAATACAAAACTTCCATTCTCCATGACCAAAAATAGAAAAGACTGTCAGTGATGCTTACATTCAGTCACTGCAAAGAAACAACAGCTATGCAAGCAGATATAAAAGGAGGAAAAAAAATGCAGCAGGCTAGAAGCATTACAAAATTCACCACATTTTTAACAACAGATACAAAAATACTTGTTGCAAAGCCCATGAGAAAGTCTTCACGAGCAAAAAATTAAGAGCAAGAGAAAAACATTACAGTAAATTTGGCTTCAATCCTCCCATCACAAATACAAACCAGTTGGAAACACCAGAATATCACCTGACAGGAACACTATTTTTAAACCCCTTTCGTGGTTCAGATGGGACTCATGAAAGTAAAGCACTTGCTACCACCAGCACCTGGGCGCACTCAGATTTCAAGCAGATGTGAAAGTACTGCATGTGGTAAAATGAACCCCTTCTGAAAATTCCATTTATTAAATGAAACAACAGATTGGAGCCACTCAAAGACAGACAAGCTGTATCTTTTGCTCTCTGCACACAGACAAAAAGCACACCTTTTTTTTTTATTTAAGAACTACTCTATCACATATGTCAGAATGGAGAATTTTGTTTGTCAGCATAAAAATAAAATGCAAACTCATCTTTTCTTAAGAATGCAGATTACTACTGACTTTTTGTCTAGGTGTATATTTTCATCTGTATACAGGTCATTATTAGAGTCTAAAACTGGCAATACAAGTCCAATGCTGGTCTAACTGATAGGCATGTAATAGCTAGTACCGCACAGCCATCTGTAAGAGAGCAATAAAATGTTGAAAAATTCCTGTTGCTATTTCTGAGCTCAAACATAGAATCTGATAGCTACAGACAGCCTGCTACCTCAATGCAACAAACTACTAGATAATGAAAATATAAAAGAAAGGATTAAAAGATAAGGATAAAGCAGAAAACCTAGATGGTCTATTGTTTTCTGAAATTACTGAGACAGTCAAAGCCAATCCCGCACCAGATTCTCTTTAGACTGGTGATATATATGGCCTGCTTTCAAAATGAAGCATCAGAGGAGCATTTAAAAATATCTAATTAATAGTAAAAATTCACCAGAGCCAGACACTATTCAGATGAAGTCTTAAAGCACCAAAAACGACATTGCCAAACTATTAATTCTACTAAACTTTAGGCTTAAGGTGACCTAATTAAAGATGAATGGAGAGTAGAAACATATCCAATTTTTTCAGAGATTGACAAGGCAATCACGAGAAGCACAACAAAGACAGTCTTACTTCCATACTGGGCAAGGTGACTGAAACCATACTGAAGAATTTGTAGACTGGAATAATAGAAAAAAAAATAACAAGGCTTTTGTAGAGGAAAGTCATGCTTCACAACTTGAAGAGTTCTTTGAAGGAGTCAAGGATCCTGTGGACAAAGGTGTTGGAAGTGGTAGTGAACAAAAGACTTCTATAAAATTTCTGCTGATGTCTCTCATAGGAAGCTGTTACAGAAGTAAAGACCTTGCAGGATAAGATTTAAGAGACAAAGATTCACAGGGGAGAGAGTCAGAAGCCTCACCACAATCTGTGCCAGGTCTTGGGCTGCTGGTCAGAACAGTCACCTGCATGTGTCTCATTTCAAATGTCATCTGTGCTTAAGTTTGCAAAGTATGCAAAATTATTGTGAGCAAACAAAACTGACATGTCATTAAAAAATTTGCAGAACCACCCCAGAATACTGACCAACAAGCATATAAAACAGCAGATGAAGTCCCATGTCAGTAAATGCAATGTAACGAACTAGGAGAGAGAACTCTAGGTTATTTAATGACACTACCAGAAAAAGGTCTGGTAGTCTCTGAACACACATCTTCAAAAGCATTTGTTCAGTACTCTGAAATGGTCAGGTTAGGAACCACCCAGAATATCAGACTTTTATTTTTTACTGAAGGGAAGAGTGAACATAACATATTCTTACGCTGCTGATACATTCATGGTGTTGCTACATGTTCAAATTATTCTATCTCATGAAGAATTTAAAGCACCAAAAAAGTATAGGTAATATTGATCAGAGTATGGAGCAGCTTCTGCACGAAGAAAGAAAAGAGAATTTTTTACCTCACCAAACAGATAAGTATGATGAGGTGTCAGATGTAAGTACAAAAAAAATAATCATGATGGCACAAAGTGATATGGTATGTCAGATGCCTGAAGTGTTTCCCAGAAGAACATGGGGAACATCAAATGAAATTTTGAAAAGTTGCTCTTAAGTACTTCTTTGCCTACTAAACAACTAAATGAGAGAATTCAATGCCTAAAGACATTTTTGAGACCATGAAACAAACAGGTTCAAAAATTATTATAAAAATTCATGAAAAAAACATATCTGTTCAAGAGCAGAACTTCCATCTCAACATGTTTCCAAACTGCAAAAGCAAGACAGGAGCTATTATTCTACATCTGTGCAAACAGCCCCTTCTTATCTGACAGTAGTGAGTACTGAGCTAGACGGACTTCCCTTGACCACGTACAAACATCCTCACACAGCACACTCTCACTCTCTTACCCCTGCAGCTGTATGAAGACCACATTTTTCCCTAGTAGCTCTCGCAGCTGTGATCTTATTAAAAATACATGCAAATAAGAAGCATTGAGCCCCAACAATGAATAGGATTTACACTTGTCAGTACTACGAAAAAAAAACCCAAAACACCAGACAAAAGCCCTTAAAACAAGTCTCAAACCCTCTGCTAGAATTACAAGACACACTTCCTTTTTTGGATATACGAAGTTTTCGCTTACCTATTGGAATTCTTTTCATGAGTGCAAATAGTAGTAATAGACATGATGGAAGTCACTAACAATCATGTAGGTGTAAGGCTTACAATCTAAAGACACCATCTAATTCTTTCCCTTTCCACCACAGAACCACATATACTTATCTAGGGCAGAAAGATTTTTGTCAAGACTTGTCTTCTCATGATATCTGATTTAGTATTCCCCTGCCTTTAGCATGAGGAAAAAAGTTTCTCAATGACCAAATCTCACCTTCCCCACCCCATCACTGAGGAATAGAGAAAAGAGACTGGATGCTTCTTCGCAACCAGAATATCCTATTTCTTGATTAAGCAATTCTAATTCTTTCAATCTTTCATTTTATACAATTTTCTAGACCACTGCTGTCCTCTGAACACCCTCTAATTGGTACCCATCTCATCTAGAGTTCAGAACCTAAAACAGCGAGGTACTGCAGGACCCACCAACTCTGAGATGAGCTGAGAATTTCAAATTACTTTTGAGCTCCTGCCCGAGTGCTTTAACTTCTTCCCAACAGTATGATACTGTGTCTTTCTTAGTTTGTGATACAAAAATTCCAGGTCCTTTTCCCCAAGACTGCACCATACACTGTTTCTTCCGCCATCACATATCCATGCAGTCTAGCCTACAGACAGTATGTTGCTTTTGTGCTCACTGACACCCTGCTTTGTTCCAGATGATGTCTGCCATTTGCCAAGATTATTCTAAATTGTAATCTCATTCTCCACCACACCTGCAGTTGTTCCCAGCTCTCCATGGCCTGAAAACTTCCTCAGCATGCCCTTTATTTTATCATCTCTGGCCTCCTGTGAAAAACGTGCAACAGGAAAAGCTTCCATTTGATAGTGAACCATATGGTAAGTACTATTTAGGCACAGTTACTCAACCAGTTTTGCTTCCATCCTGTGGAATTTTCTACCTCACTCTCACAGGTAAATAGCAAGGCAGATGCTGGAGACTGAATCTCAGCAGGCAGCAGAGTACTAGAAGGTGAAGGCAGCTACAGGTTTGGAAGAGCCAAGCTAGGCTGGCTGCCACAGGGTCACACTCTGTCACTGTGCCTCAGGACTCAGTGCTGTGCTCTTGTTAACTCTGAAAAAGGCAGTGCTGCATACAAAAAGCGGACACACACACCCCCCTT